ATAAGTGCCATATGATTTCTTCTATTTAGATAACAATATAAGGTACTTTTATTTTCTTTGCCAGCATGCAGTTAAAGCTTTATTCTCAAGAAGAGATATATTCCTTATTTGAAAAAAGATCCGTGAGTAATTATTACCAGAGTATGCTTGTCTACATTGGATTCTAAAGTTTGGGGGATTGCTCTACCATTTTCTTATACTCGGAATTTCCCCTTCTTTTTGTCTGGTAATGATGATGATTTGAAGCACATAGCGTGATTCTTCTACTGATAACTTAATTAGGACTATCTGCATGTTACTAGTTCCCCACTTATGGAACTAGTCAGCCAGCTCACATCCGCTAGAGTGCTATTCAATTATGATCTCGTCTTACTAGTTTCAACATTTTATTCGTTTTGCTTATAGTTCTTGTCCTTTGCAGGCAGCTCAGATCAAGAGCAATATTTCACGGTTTTCTGGCTTTGTGTGGCATGAAAATGAGGTATTGACATCCATGTTTGGTGCCTATACTAGTAAATGACTATCCCATTGCCTTTCCATCCCTGGGATGGTGGTCTGGTAAACTTGAGCATAAACCTCTTTTTGCTTGCTCATACTGATTGTTTATGTATCTCAGTCATTATCTTATCATTATGCTTTTAGAAATGCTAAACGTTAGATCATTGTATATTGCAGGAAAAGCAAAAGATGAAAGTAAAGGAAAAGCTTGACAAGTACGTAAAAGAGAAGCTGTTGGAATTCTGTGATGTACTAGATATACCTGTTTCCAAAGCTACATCAAGAAAGGTGAGTTCATTTTGTAGCTGCATGTTAGACCTTTTTATTTCACTTAAATAGTTCTTTAATTCATCACATGCAATTTGCCTTACCCCAGTGAATTACATATCAAAAAGGGGAAAAATTATTTTACTGAGTGAAGGCCAAATAGGTAGTTGATAATTTGCTTTTGAAAATTGCCTCTGAAAATTGACTCGCCTATTTCATTGTATGAAGATTGCATCTTGTATTTAGTCTTTCTCGCAAGTGTTTTAACTAATTAGGAGTTTTATATGCATCAGGAAGACATGGTGACAAAGTTGTTGGACTTTTTGGAAGCTCCTCATGCTATGACTTCTGAGTTGCTTGCTGAGAAGGAACAGGTTGGTGACTTCTGATTGTTGTAAAAGCATATGTGACTTGTTCTGTTTGTTTATAGTGTGCTGACACTTCTCTGGTCAAATGAACAGTCAAGTAAAGGAAAAAAGCGTAAAAGAGAGAGCAAAAAAAGTCCCTCCTCGGCATCTGTTAGCTCGAAAGGTTCAACTAAGGTATTTCTCTTATTAACATTTAACTGAGATTTAGCAGTGCAAGACCAACTAAGAGATAATTTTTTGCTTGCAACTGGCAACTTTTATCTGTGGACTTTATTATATTTCATGACAAAATTTGATTAAAAAATTAATTACTGTAAATTTATTGCACAAACTTTTTGGTTTTAGTTTTACATGTTCTCACCTTTTATTCTCAACTTGAGTTTCTGCATCCACATCCTATGATCTAAGGGTTAATATGCCATATGACTTAACAGTGTAGTAGTTGCCAAATTGTTTGCAAAGTTTTCCTGGTGTTTTAAAGTGACTTTTTCTGGGAATTGTCCAGAGTTATAATCTGATTTGACTCAGTTAAAGCCATCGCTTTGTTGCTTAAAGCGATGCAAAGCGATGAGTTACCGCTTCTCAAGTGAAGCCATGCGCTTCAGAGAAGTGTTTGCTTCGAATGATGACGCTCTAAATGATCCCAAACCTAAACAGTCTGTTATTTGAATCTCAACTTTGAGGAGTAGGATTGTTGAATGCTGAAATGAGTTTTTTTCTTCTTTTCTAATGCAATTTGATAATTATAGTACTATATTCGTAAATGTGGTATTTTTAACTTCATAAATTGTGTGCTTCACTTCTGGCTTTTCGCCTCAAGTCCCATGGACCCATTCACCTTTTTTTTTTTTTTTTTTTTTTTTTTTTTTTGCGTTTTTCGCTTTCAGAAAGACTGATTTGTATAGAGGATCTTTTTTCCTAAGTGAAAAAGAAGAGAGAAAGTTATCAAACAATTAGCTAAAATTTTGCTGTCTGGATTAATGCTACATATACTTTAGCGTCAATCATCTACAGAGAGCTGTGCATTTACATCAGTATTTTATTTGAGTGAGTTTTGTGGGATTTTTCTTTCACGGTCTTTGTTGCTGGTGTATTTACAGAGTGGAAAGAAAACTGAAACTGCATCTCAAATGGCTGAGAAGAAGACTGTGCATGAGTCAGAAGATGAATCTGAGCAAGAAGATGACCATGAGGAGGAATCTGAAGAGGAAAAGGCTAATGGTGTTCCTGAGAAATCTGACGCTGAGATGTCAGAGCAAGCTGAAAGTGAGAAGGAGAGTGAATCTGAAAATGAGTCTGAGGAGGACAGGAAAAAGCATAAGCAAAGTTCAAACAAATCTTCAACAAAGAAAGAACCTGCCGGGAAAGCTAAGACCAAGAAACCTGCAGTCGCTAAACTGCCTAGTCCTGCTCCCAAAAAGACCCCTTCAAAATCACCAAAGAGCTCAAAGCACAATGCTAGTACTGATGCAAGTCCAAAAGTGGTGTCTGCAAAGAAGAAAAAAGCTGAAGTAGTTAAAGAAAAATCTTCAATACCAAAGAAGTCTACTTCCAAGGAAAATACTGGTGAGAATCTTTTATGGGTTGTTATGAGGTGTTCAAGGATGGTTGGTTTTGTCATGATGATTATCGAAGGTATTTTTTAACGTGCTTTTGTGCTTTGCGAGCTTTTCTATTTGTGCAGGGAAAAAGATTGTAAAGGGAAAAGACAAGAGCAAAGAAGATAAATTGAGACCAAGTGATGATGAACTCAGAAATGCAATTTGTGAAATTCTTAAAGAAGTTGACTTCAACACGGTGAGCATTTGAACCGTAATTAGGTTGCGTGTTCCTGCTGTGACAATAAATGTTGTAGTACTTTCTGCGGTTCATGGTCATTATATATTCTTCTCTGTAGCCCTTTTGCTATGATGCAGAAGTTTTTCAAGGTTACTCTTGGTCTATAATGGAACACAAGGCAAAGATCATTCTTTTTCCCGGAAAATATTTGCTTAATTAGAAGCTTGCATAATGCTCTTCATCCGCCCATTCCTCAGTGAAGCTCTTAGGCCGTTGCATATTTTGAGTCATAATATTTCCAGAGTGGTACTTTACATTCCAAATTTTGCATTTCCTGAATTGCTAACAGCGCGTTTGTTTGTGCTTGCAGGCCACCTTCACTGACATTCTGAAGCAACTTGGTAAGTGTGTATTTCTCTTTTGGCAGTTTTTTCGGTGAACAAAGATAAAAAACGATGCTAGGTCTTGTTGATTATTGTCTGGTAGTTAAGTTATAAAAAAAGATGCTAGGTCATAGTAGCAAGATATTTGGATGCCAAAAGAGCACTCACCTTGTTTCTAACCAATGCATGGCAATATTTTTTTCTTCTGCAGCCAAGAGGTTTGATACAGATCTCACACCCAGAAAATCAGCTATAAAGATTATGATCCAGGACGAGCTGACTAAACTAGCTGATGAGGAAGATGATGAGGAAGAGGAAGGCGATGCTGAGAAGGATGTAAAAAAGCCTTCTGGCAAAGGTGTGAAGGCCTGAAAACATGGGTAGAATGTAATCACAGGAAAGTTACCCTACACTGTCGGTATCAATATCCAACCTTTCTCTTCCTCGTGAATTTGTGCCTTGTGAGTTCAACCAGCTGTAATCTATTCTTAATTTCTCGTTTTTCGATTAACTCTTTGAGTAGGATATTGTAGAGCCATAAGCGCCTAAGCCCAGTGCCAGATTACTGCTTGTATAAACACATTTGTAGTTTTAATTTTAATTTTTCTGTTAACTTAATCGACTGCCCTGATCATGTACTATAAATCTACAAGTATAAATTGTTAGAATCAACATGCATTTGGGGCTACCCGGGGCTGTTTTCATTTCCATTTTTTATGTTAAGGAATTTTCCCTTTTTCTTTTTGGTTGCTTAATGACTTGTTTCTCTGCCTGTTAAATTGTGCTCCAGTCAAGGAAGCCTGGAATCTTTTAGAAACTTGCTATATCTTGCCTCAGGCTAACTAGTGTTTGAACAATCTGTATTAATAGATCAGCTATTGGCTAGTGGCCAATTGCATGGTGATGTTTTTCTATGCCTTTAACTTTTCCTACAACGTAAAATTTGTGGGCGTTTGGATTTAGGAATTGAAAATGTTTCAAGTGAGGTGGAAAAGGAATCATCCCACGTAGAGAATAAATAAGATTTAAACTTCAGAACGGAAGGCCTGTCAAGTGAGACCAAGCTGTACCACTTACTGGTGGAACACCCACTAAACAAGAAGGTACAATCACTCTAGTGCCTCTTATTGTTTGATGATAGCACTGTGATTTGTTGAGTTCCAAACTAGTGATGAGTGCCCCGTTTCTTTTGTTCTCTGCTTTTTTCAGTATAAGGTGTTACCATAATACCATGTCATTGGTGTTCTTTAGCTTCCAGTCATTTTTTGGTCTCATCTTTGTATCACCGGTTAAAATGAAGACAGAAAGAACCAAGGACTATTACTTGAGTGGTTGTCATAATATACTCATACGGACTTAAGTTACCAGTTTCAAAAAATATACTCATACAGACTTATTTTCAGTTCATTTGTATCCGCGAGTTCTACAATCAGTGTGGAAAACATATTCTACTCTATTAGTCCTATATCAAACTACTACTTTAAGTGAGGTTTTGTAGCTTGGCATGCGATCTATCAACTTCCCTGGTTGCTGCTTAAAATCAAATATATGTAACGTAAAAAATTACTAACGCGTTATGATACAAATATGTTATTTTAGTTATACAACCTTTTGGTGAACTCAAACTAACACATTTGAGATAAATTGTGGATTGTTTCCTTATATTTAAAGACATTGGAGATCATTTCATCTACCAGACATGTAGTGGACACTTAACCTATATACATATTTGATGAAGAGCTTTTAGGTTTGACACAGGAGGAATGTTACACAATCAGGTTACTTACAAGTCAACTGACAGAAACTATGATGTAGGCATTTATAATCTGTTTGCTACCATGTTTACACCAAATTGTAAAATGTACACACATATTTGTAGAACAAAAGTAAGTATGATCACGGGCTTCAATAGTTGTAGCCTGTAGCGCTACCTTGGCCTCCCAACATCGGAAATCGAGACCCTGCATCATTTCCAGCCGTCTGATTGTATACTCCGGTACCTTACACGTGTCTTTGATGATGCTGACCCATCATAATCATGCCATAGTCCTCAACATAACTACCCATATTCACTGTTCCACCATTCTCTTTGTCTTGTATTCCAACCATGGTGCTCTTTTGTCCTTCCAAGTCCCTGAACCTCTGCAGATAAATCTTAAGTGGCTCAATGTATTCTTCAAAACCAAGTGTTGTCATCGCCCACAACAAATCATCACCGTTGATAGTCTTCCTCTTCTCACGCTGGCACTTATCTGATGCTTCCCCAGTAATGAAACTGATGAATTCAGAAACACATTCTTGAACTATCTCTTTAGCGTCCTTTGATATTTTCGCGTTTGCTGGTAGAGCTTTCTTCATGATTCTGCTCACATTTGCTATTGGAAGGAACCTGTCTTGCTCTCTTAGTGAACTCTCGCTCTCTCTCTGCCCTCCTGATTCATTGTCCGAATCTGCCATTCGAATTGCTTATGCTATGTTGTCTTCTTAGGCTTCTTGATCAGTACAACGGTTACTGCAAAAATGAACAAAAAGGAAATAGGGCAAAGTATATATTGTGACACTAGAGTTGTTGAACTTAGTCAAAGATTCAAACTATACGAATCTGTCTGTCATTCTCGATCAAAACAAGAGCTCTAATGGTGTACTTTGTAGAGAACTGAGTTAGAATTCTGAACTACTGACAAAAAAGCTTCAGAACAAGAAAATGGAGAAAAGATTGATGGAGAGGTAGAGTAGAGAGTGAGGGGACAGAGTTCTAACTTCCGAGGATAGGATAAAATAGGATATAATGAGGTTCGTTGGATGAAATAATGGTTAAATAACGGTATGAGGGTGAGTACGTGGAAGCATATGATTGGTTTGTTGGTTTTGCCGAAAGATCTGAGACGTCTATGTCGTATGTGGGGCATGGTCGGTTAGGATATGGTATTTTTAATGGACAATGGAGATATTATCATTGCTTACGTGGATCATTAGCATTTTTTCTTTTGGTTGTTGTAAATCATAAACATATTATACTCAAGCGCCTACCTGCTGTGGCAGAGCCAAGATTTTCATCAAGCAGGTTCAACATGTGAAAAAGCAAATGTACAAAAAACTTGACAAAATAAATTGTTATTAATATTAAAAATTAAAATATATTATTAAAACTAATCTCTTCGAGAAAATTAATGATTTCAGGGTTAGTAAGGACTTTTTCGGATATATGCTTTTCTGATCTCATCAAGCTCACTTGGATAATAGTATCAGATGAATATTCTTTCTTTTGCATCAGTCTTAAAAAATTCAAATCTCTATTCTTTGCCTTTATTTTTGTAGAGAAGTGTGGTTGTTATTCTAATTGGCTCAAGATTCTTACACGAGGAGCAATTTGAGAGGATGAACTTGATTGTGGCAACTCGGAAGATACCGGAGAGTAAAATCTCTCTGGATTAGAACATTAATTTAATAAATATATTTAGAATTAAAGTATCACAAACAAGAATTGAACTAAACTCAACTGTAACTAACATCGTGATACTTTCCTTGTAACTAAATTAAAACCTAGATTAATTGGTAAAAAGCAATTTAAGTCACTAAGAATAATATGTAAACACAAATTGATGGGAAATTGAAAAAAAGGTAAATGGAATAAAATTCTAATGGCTCAACATAAACTAATTAACTAAAAAGGCAGTAATAAAAATCTAATCACAAACTAATTAAGGAAAAGAAATAAATATGTTTAGTGATCTTTCTCTGAATTATTGTATCTAAATAGGAAAAGAGTAGTAATACACATTATGTTGCTGTTTAGTTTGGAACTCATGACCCGTTAAAATTTGAAACCACTTCACCAATGGGCTTCACTTACTATGAAAGAAGTGAGTTCAAAATTTATTTTATAACAGAATATCTTTGGAGAAAAATAAAGAGAATTTTTCAGAAATGACTATTGTTTAGTGGCTATTAACTTCATATAACTATCATATACATAGTTACTTTCTGTAGCTACCTTTCAGTTGTTATGATAATGTATTCGGTGTATTCGAGCTACTGTATTCATGAATACAGTAGCAAAAATTGGCTAAAAAACAGGGCAGTCCAGCTGTCAGCCACTGTATTCACATGTATTCATGAATACAATGTAATAATAGGTCTCTTCAGTTGTTTAATAACGGAAAGCTGCTAATTTAACGGGATACACTCCTAATATAACTCACCTAAATCAATTATAACACACAACATTATCAATCAAATTAATGAGAAAATTTATGAGACGCTAAACACTAAAAAATAAAGTATTCTTCAGAGTTTCAGTCTCGTTTTTTTTTTCTGATACAATTCGATTTTTTAATATTTTTTTCATGACATTGTTCGAGGTTCTGCTCGGAATTGATACAAGTATCTACAGAAATACTTTGAAATTCGATTTTCTGTATATGAATAGATCATGTATTTATGCCAGATACAACCTGTAATAGTAACCTACTGCCTGCATATTTCATAATAAACCTAGTGCTTGTATTCTGTTGTATCTAACAGTTATGTTCAATGTATTCAAGTTTATTTTTGTATTCATAATATTTTATTTATTCCTACAACATGGTATTACTACTTTATTGAGTATATTTCATTGGTTGTATTCATTGATTTTCTATTTGTATTGAGAGTATTTTACTGTATTTCATTGTATTGTTGTTTTAAATACAGATGGATACAATTAGGTTGAAAATATAGATGAATACAGTTAGATTAAATGCATAACTAATTGATAAATAACATCAAAATGATAGAACTAACAATGTATTTAAAAATATTATTGTATGACCTCAAATACATATAAATACAACAGTCAAAATCACTGTACAAAATAAAAATCAGTGTATGCCTTATCGAATACATATAAATACAAGAAGAGAAACCCACTGTACAAACTAAAAATTAATGTATGCGGACCCGAATACATATAAACACATCTACAATTAATTGTTGCGTATTTTTATTCTCCTTTCGGCTTCAATGGTTGCTGATGAACCTGCAAATACAATTCCATTGTTATATGTGAATGGTTTAACCCATTTACCCAAACATAATCCTAATCTCATTAGCCGCTGCCACCCTCTCCTCTATTATATTACAAAAAGAAAGTAGTCGACAAAAATATTAAATAAATTAATACGCCAATAAAAATTTCTATTAACAATGTAAAAATACTAAATATTGGATAAGTATAATAAAGAAAAATATAGAACAAAAAAGTTATTCAATGACTATACAAGTCTCTTTAATTTAATAGATATTTTATTCATTAAAATTCAGACAATATTATTGATAACAATAGGATAAAATTTAAAATAAAAATATATTTCAAGAGTATATATCTTAAATTATATTACAAAAAGAAAGTAGTAGATAAAAATATTAAACAAAGTAATATGCCAATAAAAAATTTCTATTAAGAATGCAATAATACTAAATATTGGATAATATAATAAAGAAAAATATAGAACAAAAAAGTTATTCAATGACTACACAACTCTCTTTAATTTAACAGAGATTTTATTCATTAAAATTCAGACAATATTATTGAGAACCATATGATAAAATTTAAAATAAAGAAATATTCCAAGAGTAATAAAATATATATATCTTCTATTATATTACAAAAATAAAGTAGTAGACAAAAATATTAAACAAAGTAATATACTAATAAAAGTTTTTATTAACAATGTAAAAATACTAAATATTGTATAAGTATAATAAAGAAAAATATAGAACAAAAATATTATTCAATGACTATACAAGTCTCTTTAATTTAAGAGAGATTTTATTCATTAAAATTCAGATAATATTATTGAGAACATTAGCATAAAATTTAAAATAAAATAATATTTCAAGAGTAATAAAATATATATCTTCTATTATATTACAAAAAAAAGTAGTAGACAAAAATATTAAACAAAGCAATATGCTAATTAAAATTTATGTTAACAATGTAATTATATTAAATATTAGATAATATAATAAAGAAAAATACATAACAAAAAAATTATTTGATGACTATATAAGTTCCTTTAATTTAATAGATATTTTATTCATCAAAATTCAGATAATATTATTGACAACAACATAATAAAATTTAAAATAAAAAATATTTCAACATTAATAAAGCATATATATCTTCTCTTATATTACAAAAAGAAAGTGAGCAGACAAAATATTAAACAAAGTAATATGCTAATAAAAATTTCGTAAAAATACTAAACATTGGATAATAGAATAAAGAAAAATATAGAACAAAAAAATTATTCAATGACTATATAAGTCCCTTTAATTTAATAGAGAATTTAGACAAATAAGATGAAAATTAAAATTTATTAAAGCAATACGATCTAATATGTTCAAACAAGCCCGATCACAATTTAATTAATATTTTTTAATATTGACCGCGCATTGCGCGGGTACGACTACTAGTGTCACGACCCAAAATATCACCTGTCGTGATGACGCCTATCTCAATACTAGGCAAGCCGACAATCTTAATAAACCACCATATCTTTTAAGTTTGAAAACATGATATTTAAATTCAACGGAAGAAATCTCACAATTACATATATAAATACTCCCAAAACCCGGTGTCACTGAGTACATAAGCATCTAATATGAATACAAAGTCTGATTGACAAAACAATGTCTGAAAGTATAGAACAATACAATAACTACAAGAAAGGGAGTCAAGGTCAGCGGACTCCAGGCAGCTACCTTGATAGTCTCCAACTGATAGCACTCTGAGATCTAACGGTCACCGTGTCCGAAAGCACCTGGATCTGCACACGAGGTGCAGAGTGTAGTATAAGTACAACCAACTCAATAAGTAACAAGACTAACCTTTGGGCTGAAAGTAGTGATGAGCTCCGCATGTACAGTCCAGTATAAATAATACAATACAGAAATGTAGGCATGCTTTCAAGTTGCTCCTGTATTCATGAATACATGGCGCGAATACATGTGAATACATGCGCGTACAACTGGACTACCTTGATTTTTAGGTGCTTTTTGCTGCTGTACATCGAATACACTACCGTAACAATTGAATAGTAGCTATAGGAAGTAATTTTGTATATGGTAGCTATAAGAAGTTAATAGACACTAAATAATAGTAGTTTCTGAAAATTCCTCGAATTTATAACCACTTATTTGACCCATTTTAACTTACTCAAGCAAAAATTGGACGAGTCGGGTTATGAAATATCGACTAACTTGGTTATTTTGACCCATTCAAATTTGATTAAACCTATCCATTTGCACCCTATATAATTAGCTACAATTAGATAATAATTTGTCCAAAATTATATGTAATATATCTATTGAATTGGTATTGAATTTAATTGAGTATTTTCCTCTTCGAAACTCCCCATGAGCTATTCTTTCAAATTTCTAGCAACGCATTTACGATCTTAATTTGCATTTACGATCTTAATTTTTGAAGTTTTCCAGGTATGATCTTTACACTTGGCGTAGTTTTAAATAATATATAGTACTTGTATTAGGCCAAAAGGATTGGAATAAATAATTTTAACATGTACATACGTTTTTATTTGTAAAAATATAGAGGATTACAATATAATTTAAGATATAAGTGTATTTGATGAAAGAAAAGTAATTTTGCAGCCATACCTACTAAAAGAAACTAGATTTACCCCTAATACATATAATTAGGGGTGGGTATAGTTTGGGCAAACTCGAAATCCAAACCGAAATCCTAATTGTTTGAATTTTTTGTTTGGAT